AGCGCTGTGCAGCTGTACACATTGCGCTGGGACACTCACAGCATTAGTTGAGCCAGTTTCTTTTACCTAATATGAAACATTTTTAATCTATATATGTAATATTTTTGTATTTTATTTTGTAATTGTGTTTTTCTGGCAATAAATATTTTCTATTCTATAATTTATTTATTTATTATTTCTCAGCACAAATAATTAAGGACTTTTTTTTACAACTAGAATGGCAAACAAGCTGACGGCCCACCTGATGGAAAGTGGTAACGGTCGCCTATAGACATGAGCAGTACCATGGACATAACAGAGTATACTGTTTCGCCCATGATACCCCCCATGCGTTGCCATTCCTGAGGACTCAGGTGTTATTCCTCTGTACCCAGTAAATTCACGCCATATCCCACCCTTCAAACCGAAACACAGTCATGCAAACACAACTGCTTCACGGTTGAAACACGAATGGGACAGAGGTGCCCAAGCAATCGACTTTTGTACAAAGTTTCCCTCTTACTATCCATAACGTGCAGAACATTTTAACAATATTATTTGTGACAGCTGGTGCCTGTACTAGGTGTTAAACCTGTATTACAAGTCACTAGGACCCTAATCTCGAACAGTACAAATTATAAAAAAAAAACTTTCACAAAAAAGGTGATGGTTAGTATATAAAAAAATTAAGTACAATTAAGATTTTACAATACAATTCATAGAAATATTTTAGCTTGCAAATAAGAATGTTTAGTTGGGTAATTATAGTCCATTCACATCTGATCTGGGTTAACTATTTAAAACAATAACACGGTCATTAGGATTGCAATTTTTCATCAACGGCCGTCAACATATTTATCATCCGTAATATCTAATTTAAATTCACTAACAAAATAAACATTGTTTACATCACCCGAAAGTTATGTATTCCATTTAGTAGTGAATTAAACACTATTTTGAAAAATATTAATGGATTTAATAGAATGATGAACATTTGTTGTATTTTAATGTAATACTTTACGTAGGATATTTTGCTCTTCGCCGTGTGGTCCCGGCATAGAATTACCGGTAAGTTAAATACATTATTAACTTACCACAGGGAGACTTTGTACAAAAGTCGATTGCTTGGGTACCTCTGTCCCATTCGTGTTTCTACCGTGAAGCAGTTGCGTTTGCACGGCTGTGTTTCGGTTTGAAAGGTGGGATATTGCGTGAATTTACTGGGTACAGAGGAATAACATCTGAGTCCTCAGGAATGGCAACGCATGGGGGGGTATCATGGGCGAAACAGTATACTCTGTTATGTCCATGGTACTGCTCATGTTTATAGGCGACGGTTACCACTTTTCATCAGGTGGACCGTCAGCTTGTTTGCTATTCTAAGTTGTATAAAAAAAAGTTTGTTATCGAAAAAAAAAATTATTATATAACAGACTTTTAACATATTCAAAATTGATTTTCCGACCTGTATTGGCGATATGGAAATTGGGGATGACCTTTTATCCCCCTTCAATGTCCAGAGCAACCCAATATATAGATAATGTAAAATGGATAACGGATCAATATTCATATTATCCTTGTCTACTACTGAACCGATTTCGATAAAATTTATTTATTTATTTATTCACACTTTATTGCACCAAGTAAAAAGAGAAATAACAAATATAGTAAATATTAATGAGAAGTGATACAAAAAGCGGCCTTATCGCTGAGCAATCTCTTCCAGACAACCTTTGGGTAGAGGACATTGAGAAAAAGACAAAGGGTAGGTGGCGCACTATTATATAAATATTACCATATACAAACATATATACATACATACACATACTTAACAGCACACATACAACAGAAAAAAAAATGACGAAGGAAAACGAAGAGAGAACACTGGAAAATAGTACTAAAGTGAGAGGTAGTAGGATTTAACAGAGATTTTGAAACTTCTATGGGACTAATCTTTAAGTTTTTTTTTTTAGATAAAAAAGGAATTTTCCAATCGGTTTACAATTGACAGTGTTATAAGGTACCTAACATATATAAAAAAAATTACAACCGAATAAAGAATTACTTTTGAGGTCGATTGAAAATATGTATGACGTATGTATGACTCGATTAAATTCTGATTTGATTTGATAAGTAGCCAATACTCGAAGGTAATGTCGATTAACCTCGTCAGTGGCCCTTTGGAAATAAGTTTGGCCGTATGCCCAATCAGTTGTTTGTTTAATTAATTACTAGAATGTTAACTGAAGCGGCACCGGGTTCGAATCCGCGAATGGTCATGACGCAAACGCGATACGTGAATAGCTAGTATTAGTGGATGGAAGTTAGCGGAGCGGAGCGGACAGTGGAGCGGTGACTGTCACTGTGTCACTGTGTGTCACTTGTCCGTCGTATCACTCTTACTCCGACGAAGATCTTAGGCGGTGTTCATAGACATAAAGATAAATAGATGTCGCAACCGAATATGCAGGATGACATAGAAAAACATTAATATCTTATTAAGAGAGTGTTTTATCTGTGAAAATATTTTTTTCCCAATGAAACATGGGTTAATAAATACCAAAAATTTCTAGGCCTTTCGCACTAATTCGGTGAGTTCAACTGTTAAGCTAGTATGGGAGGCTAAAAAAGTTTTTGTTGTTTTAAAACCTATATTTTTTACAGGCAGAAAACTCTTTAAAAGGTTCAATTTTACTCGGTAAATATTGCCATGTAATTTTTTTTCGTTCTAAGCAAACTGAAACGAGATTACTTTGAGCCCATTTTGATTTAGAGTCTACATGACTATATTGTTAAAAAAATAAGAGGATAAATAAGAATTAAAAGGATAGTTCCGAACCCTGCAGTCAGCAATGACTGTACACATTATAGTCTCTTTCATGTGTACGGCATCCAAATTGTATCTGAATATTATGCATTCATTTTTCACTCGTTTAAAAGGGTTAGGTGATATTTTTGAGAGTGTTCGATGCGGATATTGGTTTGCTAACAAGAAATAGGTATTATTTTTACCAGTGACTTCGCCTGCATGATTTTGATACATCGTGACAGATCATCTGTTCTATGTTATGTAAAACAGTTTGGGTATGTCAAACGTCATGACAATTGGTTGTGCTGTTAAGAAGCCAAAAAGTAACAAAGAAATAAACAGACAAACTCACTTTCACATTTATAATATTGAGTAAGGATTGCTTTATTTGCGTCATCTATTTTAATCTAACTCTGTGATTCGGATGTGACTCTGTGGAACGAGTGGCTTGTAAATATGGCAGCTGAGGTAAATATTCCCAGCATTGTGACAAGGCCGTAAACAACCGCCAGTTAACTGTAGCACAACCAATATATCTAGACGTAACAATTCATAAATAATCATAGAAAACGGTGAGGTCGTTCGAAGCAGACCGTTTAATAGTACAAGACCAGTGCGGGGACGTCGAAAGTATACCTTAATATAATTATGTTTTTAATATTTCTCTATAGAGTTATTTACCTTTTTTATTTTAATTTTATTTACGCCTCTAAAAAAGGGAAAAGATTGGTGATCGAAACAAGTATGCTCTTTAAAAAAATGTTATTTCGTATAAAGTGGCCCATCATTTTGCTTCTTCTATTCTCTATTGCTTTTATTAATGTTCTCTTCTCGTTCACTCTTTTCAAGACTTCCTCATTTCGTTATTCTATTCTATACTTCATAAAAAAAATTGTGACGTTTGAAGTTGGTGTTATTATTGCGGAAAATATTTTAAATTATATTCGTTACTGTTATGTTTATAAAGTCGATAGAAATTTTTATCTGTTTGTGCCGGCGATTGTTGGAAGTCGCTGAAAAATTTATATTTGTAAAAGACTTCGAGAGTTCACATGTTATAAACATTTGTATTTATTAGTTTTACCGATCAAATATAATATATTATAATCTTGTCTTAAAAATTATAAAGATTGTTTATTTTTCTAACAAATATACTTACGGCTCGTATGGTAGGTCTAATGGGTGAAAATGAAATGGTAGACTCCGTCTGAGCTTGTGTTATCTGCTGGTGGGGTATTAGTGAGGGTTGATAGGTGAGGATGAAAACAGGTCAGTTGGCACATCGAAACGTATTCTGCAAGGATTAACTACGGTGGACGGTTTACAAAGGAAACCACGTGGAGGTCAACTTGTTAGGGTACATGCCCCCCCCCCCCCCCGTATATTAGTGAACAGCTACTGTATACTATAATGCAATCTATAAGTAATCCTAAAGAAACTAATACGAGCGTTTGGAAAATCTCTTGCTGTAATGTTTTTCTTTAACGCGAAGGTGGTAAATAAGCAAACAGCGAATCTGACGGTAAAGGTAACTATAGCCTATGGATGCCTGCAACACTAGTGGTGTCACGTGGCCTGAAGAAACCTTAATACACCTATTTTGAAGAACCCCACACTAGTGTATGGAGACAAGCTTGGCAGAGAGCTCATTTTACAGCTTGAGCATTCGCGGGAGGAAATTCCTCTGAAACCGCACTGTACGTGACCATTTAGATTCTAGATTGTGAGGACGAACCTTCTGGCGATAGTTCCCTAGTCTAGGAAAATGGGTAGCCTACCAGCTAACCAGTAGCGCAAGCTGCGATACTGTCCCCCTAGAAAGTACAAACGAATCTATACATAGAATCGCTTCGGTAAGCTTTCACACGAGAAAGTACGAGACAGAACATATCGCCGTCTCATTCTCTCTCATGTACTCTCTAGCGATAACGATTCTATTAATAGATTCGTTTGTACTTTGTTTACGAGGACAATTTTCCATTCATTAAAAAAAACTTTACCAGGAAACTCATAAATAATAATATATTTCATAAACGCCATCTATTGGCACACGTTAGCGGAATATTTTTCCCAATAAATTTAACATTGGACATTTTTATTATTAAGCGATCTCTAGTCGGATTCCAATAGTTTTTACGACCCATTTCACTTTAATCCCGTGTGTACACTGTTCCGCATACTTGGACAGTTCCGAAGTGATTTAAAAATAAAGGTTTTCCTTTCCGTTGCAGGCGCAGCAGTGATATGCCGGTGAGGGCAGCGTATGGTCGCGGGTGGGTGGAGGCGCGCGTGCGTGCGCGCATGTGCTACGAAACATTCCAACACTAGTAGTGATTTGTATGGCTAACGTGTTGATATTTTTATTTGTTTCATTCAAGAGAGATTAAGATTTAAATTCTAATTGTAGTTTAATTAAATAAAAGTTATTATTTTTCTGTCTTTTAATTAGGTATAATATACTCAAAAAAAAAAAAATACATATACTTGAAAGAAATAATTTCAAAAAAGAATTTTTATTTATGATGCTTTTCATTACATTGTTGAATTTATTTATGTTATTATTATTAAATTTAAATAAATAAAATCATGTTTATTAAAATGCAGAAATAAAAATATCAATAGAACATAGCTATTGGTGAACAGTGAAATGGAGAGTAGTGCAAATAGTATAGGCGGTGATAAGTGATGGTGAACGTGTGGTGAAGGCTCTAATAATTGGGTGATGTGCCTGATAGTGATGTGACATGCGTCATGAAGTGATAGTCGCGACAATCATGGGAATACAAGTGGAGAATACTGTCAGTTATAATAGTAGTTCATGTAAGTATACCAAGTAACACTTTTTTTTTTAATTTGACTGATCATTATTATATATTTAAAATTAGATTTTTTTGTTTTGTGCCATGTAGAAAAATAAAAAGTTTGTATTTATAAAAAAAAATCTAATTGATGTCTAAATAATTACTACATCAGTGTATTTTAATGCTTTAATACGATAAATATTTAATAATAAGCATTCTTTGTTTTTTTTAAAAAAAAAAAAACCGTTTTTAATTATAAATGCTTTCAGTAATCTGTCACTGTCCATTCAAAGTTTCATGACATGTGTATTAAGTATGTCACAGGAATATTGTCAACTGGGAATATTGTAATAATTCTAAATTACTGAATACTGAAAATATTCGAGTCAAATGAAACAGTTTTAAAACGATACCTTTAAGTGTCATCTGTTTTATTTATATCTAGTTTTATATATATTTTTTATGGAAAGGAAACCCGAAACTCAGCGGTAGTAATTAATGAAAATTTTCCTGAAAGAAACACTGAAAACATAAGACTATTAGCTGACTTCATTCACGTTATTGTTACATATGCATTATATGAAGGTAATAGGAAATGAGTTTCACACTTGTAGTGTGTATTTATGAAAAAAACATTTAATTTTATTTATTTCTATGTCCATATGTGTTTTTATATTTTTTTGTATAAGTACTTAGTAGTCTTTAGGCACGTTACAATATTCCGGTTTCTACAAACATCCTGCGACATGTGCACTGTAAATGTGTCGGTACATTTAGTTTTTTATTTTAGTATAAGTTCAATGCCGATTCAGCGACCTAGAGGGAGCGAGGGCGACTCTGACGTCACGTTTGTCTTGTGCTGGAGTTGACGCGTACAAACATTTTTAGATCATAGAAAACACAGTAATTGGATGTGTAAAGTTGCACAATTCTATTTTTGTAACCGTAATATAATTGATGGTACAAGTTGTACTCTATTGATAGCTTTTATAAGGCAGTTTTTTTATAAAACTGCTATATCTATACACTGAGTCATTGATATATGTCTCTGATATGTGGTATCAGATAGGTAGGTACACAAGTTCTTTTTTTTTAATATCCAAAACTATCATAGTTGAATATCTACTAGGCATATTCAAGTTTATTTTCCAAGGGGGAGGGTCTGGCCCATTGAAAAGTCGCATTATGTACTCTCAGACATATTTCGCGTATGCCCAAGTTGCTATCCTAGTATAGGTACCAGACAATTCTAGGGTTAAAATAGTCCACCTAACCCTCCCCCCATTCTGCTCCAATACGTCTAAAATAGTAAAATGTCGAGACTACGAGATGAACTCTGTTCGGAGCTCTGATAGAATTTGGAGAGAAGATATCCTGAAGAGTTAAATTATTAGATTGAAGCTGAAGAGATGCAATGTGTTAGCCACGTGAATTGAAGAACCGCCAGCTGATGGATAAGAAAGGTCCTCGAGGGATGAACCAATATAATATAAATATAATATCATAATAATATAATATAATAATTAGCAGTTAGAAAAAGAGTTATGTTATAAGGAGTCGAGGAATGCAAAAGTTCTATCTTAAAGAGCGGGCAATAGTCTGCTCTCAAATCATTCATGATAAGATAAGATAGATAATATAAGAATCCTCTCTGGAGTGACATTAAAAAAAAATACATGAATGGTTAGTTTAATCGTGTTTTTACTCTGTTAGGGATTTTATGTCGGATTAAAAGGGTGGATATTTGTACGTATTATTGTTATATTTAAAACATATTGACTTCTTTATTTTTATTAGTACATTTCATTTTTATTGTTGACCATATAATATCCAATTGTTATTTTTACTATTTAAACTAATCGACTGAATAAATTTAATTGTATTATTCTTAATATTTACAAAAATATACTACAAAAGTTTTTAAAACTAAATCATTGTAATTTTTGTTTTCAATATTTGCACGATTGACCTAAGTAGATTTTGTAAGGTACTTTTAATTTATAAGATCAAATGTTTTATACCCAAAATCATTGCAAACAAAATTATTATTATGAATGATTGGAATTATAAAACTATATTATACTCGTATTCCAGACTTTGCTTAGTAAACTAGCAACATTTGATCGAAACCAACGTTTTATTAGATGATTTTGAGGAATTGAGAATAAATACCTTTGGGTTTCCATTATTTTTTAAATTTTCGTCCAATTCTACGATGTCGTTGAGCTTGTTAAATGGATGATAATGGAATGATAACCTCACCTGTACTATCCGTACATGTTGGTGATGCATCATGATGATACGTAGGGGTGAAACGAAGTCAGTTGCTCCGTCGTGATGAATTCATCAAGAAATAATGACGATGGTTCCCAGGAGGAATCGTGTGGAAGTTAATCTGACATATTGCTAGTTATGGGGCTCTTAGTCCCCATTGTTAACGAATTTCTTATAGGCGACATCGTCGTGGCGCGTCGCGTCACGTAATTGTTTACTGCATACCTAGCTCTAATTAAGAAAGAGTTTTTTTTTTATTATGGAATCCCTAATGGTTTGAGTCATATGTTTAGCTTTTACATCAAACATAATTATAGAAATGTTCAAAGCAACGAAATTCAGGCTAGCAGCGCCATCGACCCGTATTCTTGACGGCCGTCTCCCAAAACAGCAGTGACAGACAAACATATATCGAACTAGACAAGTAAATGTCGTCGAAACGAAAACAATGCGGAGTTTTGACTGGACTACACTCGGACGGCCATTTCGGTGATTTACTGTCAACTCCATTTTTGATTGTTTTTTTATTATTATTTGTTTATTTTTTTTTTTAACATTTATTTTTAATTGTAATTATGGTGAATTAAAGCGTTTTATAACAATAGAACATATAACTATAGAAAAAAATGTATATACTCGTAAATTGAATAAATTGAATAATAGGTAATATTTGCTTTTGAATTTTTTTTTTGTGGATGAAAATGGAATGGTAACCCGCCGCCTGCGCTAACGGGATACGCTGGCGGAGCACCAGTGAAGGGTGATAGATGAGAATGAAAACAGGCCAGTTAGCCCATCATGATGGATTCATCAGAAATTAACCGTGATAGTTTCCAGGGGGAACCACGAGGAGGTCGACCTGGTTGGGTATATTGCTAGCAATGGGATTTTCAGTCTCCATTACTAACAATCCCTTTCCCCCGCTTTTGAAATATAGAAACACTTTTTTATCTTCTAAATCCAATATTTAATCCAATTTTTTAGTTGTAGTTTAATAACATTATTTTATGGCATCCCATATCAAACGATTACAAATCAAAAACACTATAATCTAAATAAGAACAAAAGCTTTTATTAGAAATATTTTAAAAGTATAACACTTTATAGTACCTTTTAATTCTTGACGTAAATTGTTTTACTGTATAAATAATTTGGGGGAGCCCAGTGACTATTTTAGTATTGACTAATTAAAATTTTACATTTAGTTTGATTTATCACAGAATAAGCAATCACTTAATATTTGCAGTACAGTAAGTAACGAACGGAGAATCAAAATACAAAAGAGAGAGAAGGTTAAATAACTGTTAATAGATATTTACGTATAACATATATTTTTTTTAATTCGCGCCATTTTTCAGTGTTGCTATAAAAACTGTAACGTTTTGATATTCCTATTTAGGAATACACAGACGAATCGCCTATAGCTGCATTTATTACATACATACATACATATCTGTCACGCCTGTGGTCACGTATTTGATTGATCAACACCTGAGGGTCTACCATGAAATGTTTTCTGAAATTTCAGAGCCGAAAAAACACAAATTTCATCTTAAATTTAAATAATATGTACCGTTTAAAATGAATAAAAATGCTAAAATATCATTCCTTTGGACTTTTATGGTAGCATTTATGACAAACAAAAGGTTAAACTGCATTTACTGGGCCGATTACTGTGTGAACAAAAACATAATTTTGAGTCCAAAAATTCAGTATTTCATTTCATGGTAAGAGGTCTTGCATTTTGCACGTTTTGCATTGAGGTATACAGAAACAATAGAACGTTTAAATCCACGAAAACCTGTCCGTCCCTACATTTTATTTTATAAATTCACTCTCACAAAAATAAAATACTCGTAGTTGGAACGGATTTTAGCAAAATATTTCTAGCAAGACATGCTATTTAGATAATATTAATATAGTGAAAAACTTATGTATGTCTATTTATCAAATAAATCATGAACTTAAGGAAGGAAACGACTAATATATCTAAGAGACGGAACGGAAAGGAACATTTACATAAAAACGTACCTATATATTTAATATATTCAAATTTTTATGAGTTTTTCAAGAATGTACAAACATAATTTAATGTCTAAAAGATAATTGTAACTGTCATATTAAAAAAGTTTGCATGTGACGAGGAATATCAGTGGGGGAAAGCTAAACACGTCGCGGCGCGGGAGTGTTGCCAGCTTCTGATGCGGCGTATTGAGTGACAGGAACTAACAAATAGAAGTAAACATTCGTACGGTATACGTA